GGGGGGGGGGGGGGGCGGCGCACTAATGATGTGGCTAGGCCATCAACACTCTAGGGGCCAGGTGGAGGGCTTTTCACACAATTCAAGCATTTGCTGGCCTCTGAAATGAACGTAACTACAGCTTATCTTCATTATTTGTGGACTGTGTATTCGTGAATTCATCCACTTGCTAAAATTTATTTGTAAACCCAAAATCAATACTTGTGGTGCATTCCCGGTCATGTGCAGAGTGGCAAAACATTTAAGTCACTTGACAGGCACATTCCAAGCCAAGGCTGATCAGGGTGACACTGCCTTCTTGTTTCCTACTGTAAACAAGTGTCCTTTTCAGTCTACTTAGTACACCATGATATTTTCTGCATTTCTGTGCTTTCTGTTGGTGATTTTTGCTGTTTAAAATGGCCCCCAAGTGGAGGGCCAAAGTGCTGTTTAGTGCTCCTAAGGTTGTAATGTGCCTTATGGAGAAAACACCTTCATCCGATAATCTTCATTCAGGCATGAATGATAGCACTGTGGGCCAGGAGTTCAATGGTAACGAGTCAACATTAAATGAGATGTCTTTAAACAAATATACATAAGACAAGGTTATGTACTGACAAAAATGGTGTGAACAGAGGCCCGCAGCAACCTCACCCTGTACTTTCCCTAAAGCGATGGTTCAGTATTCAGCATTCGCTGTGTTTGTGGCAACTCTGTAGAACACAACCACTGCGAACAGTGAGAATCAACCGGATCTAGGTGATGTTCGAGCTTGTGTTCTGATTTGAAAACCATCCACGGAACCTATGGCTCACACCACACACACACATAAAAAAAAGTCCTTACCAATCATTTGAGCAATGGTCTTTTCATATTCAGCCACAATTTTCCTTAAAAAAAAAAAAAATTATCAGAAGAGATTTTTCAATAGACGTTCCTGAAATGCTGCCCCAAACAATTAAACACATTAACAAATGAACATTTCAACAAATAAGTACTTGAACGATGTTCAAATGAACAAATCTACCCTTTTGGGCAGCCTGCCCCCTCTAATTCAGTCACAAGTTTTATTTTACGGTCTCAGTTCCAAAAGCATTTCAGTTATTCAAAGACTTTAAAGATCACCCTGTCGTGTTAACCTTTCTTTTCAGTGAAGTGCCATAAAGTTTCCCTGACCCTGCCGACCCTGTCCAGGGACTGGCGCTCTTCCCTGTGTGCCTCCCTACTGTCACTGGTGGTGCCCATCACTGTGACCCTGCATCCAAGTCCTTTATGATGGCTACTGTAAGCTCTCTAAGGGCAGGGGCTGTCCCTTCCTCTCCGCCACACCTGGCATGGGCCCTCACAGCCAGGAAATGCTCAAAATACAAGTAATACAAGAGCTACAAGTTAGAGCGGGCATATTTAAAATATGTCTTAATCATTCAAGTGCTGACTACACAAATGTAGAAATTATGCTTTTTTCTTCTTCTTTGATCCTATCTTCAGTTATTTCACAGCCTCTAACTCTCCATTCTAGGGAATGAGCAGCAAAAATAAAAAAGATTTCAATTTAAGGTCAATCAATTTTGTTTCCGGTTAACATGCTTTTTATAATCTATTTGATGGTGATGAAAGTTGAAGCCATCATGCATAATTAATTTGAGAAAAGCATTATAGATTATAATGCCTCCAGAATCGAGTATGTCGATAAATCTTATTCTTCAGTTCAAATGGATATCTTTGCACAAATTGATGTCTTTTCAAAAGACAAGAATCATGTGGGTTCTGCTTACATGTAATGTTCTCAACATCCCACAAGAAGCTGCCGTATGTGAATAATTGGTCAGCAATCCTCATAAAAAGATGCTGTCACAGTCACAAATTAAAGTGCAAATATCAATGCCCTCAAGTTCTCAACACCAGGTTCTGTGGTAAGCAAATACTTTCATCACTTCATTTATATGAAATCTAATAATGCATAAAGGTATCCAATCCCTCCCCCAAACCTCCAGTCTAACCTCATCTCCAACACTTCTTGTCGGGTTTCTTCGTATTTTTTCTTCCATTCATTTGCTTCGATTTCCTTAGTGATTATCTAAATTATAATAGAGATAGAGCTTGGTTTTACTGAATCTATTACAGTTTGAATTTAAGATTGGAAACTGAAAACGACACGCAACCAGGTGCATCCCAAGACATTTGAGCTCCATGAGGAATATAAAGCCTCAACGTCTGTGTATAATGCTCACAAGCATCTGGAAAAATGTTCTCTCTGCCACACAGGATGGCAGAAATGTAGCCACCAAGGTAGGGGTGAACAGAACATCCCCCAGGGAAGATTCCAAGTGATAATCACAATCTCTGTGAATTCTGCCAGGGTCCAGGGTCTAGGGTCTGCTCTCAGCTCTGCATGCCCAGAACTGTGACTGGGACAGGACACCAAAAGAAGAGCTATCTGCCTGGCAGAGATGCGCCTTAACCAAAATACTGATTTTACTTAGGATAAGAAAAATCAGAGCATTAGCATGACCAGCATATTCTCTTCCTATAGAGATCTCTGCTTGATAAGAATGAAGTCACAACTAGGGGCTCAGAAGTTCAAATCCTTTAGCCAGATGCACCCATCTCACCATAGGCAGGATCTTGCTTGTCAGACCAGAACCCATATTCCTATTTGGGGTGCCCCTGCTAACTGGGAAGAAATACTCTAAACTCATTACCTCAAACTCTGTGGGCCTAGGCACAGCTTAGAAGGGCATCACTGCCCTCCTTTTATTCTACGTCTCTATGCTTCTCTCTTTCTATTTGGTACATTCTTTATTTTGTGCCTTTAGTCAGGGTCTCAAGAAGCTAGCAGCCAGCCCATCTGCCTGAGGTGACGAGGCACATGCCTGTTCTGCTCCATTAGGGCATCACATCACAGTTTCGCTCTCAGGAGGAAGATAGGGTCATTTTTCTCATTGACAAGATTTTGGTAGGCCTCCTCACCACTGCTCCCGAGTTCTGACAACAGGGTCAGCTGACATCCCTCATTATCAACTTAATGCTATTTTTTGAAGCTTTAAAAGGCCTTGACATCAGAGGCTCTTAACTATTCCTATTATATTATGAAAATAAAATTGCTACAGCAAGGGAATTCCCTTCTTAAAAAAAAAAAAAAAAAGGTGGAATCAACAAGAGATGCACAAACCAAACATACAAAATACAGCCTAGAAATATAATGGGAGAGTGGTAACTGGGCAACAGCATCTTTCATATTTTTTCAGATCATCCAGGAAAGATCTAGCAGTAATCTATTTTCTTTTTTTTTTTTTTTTTCAACGTTTATTTATTTTTAGGACAGAGAGAGACAGAGCATGAACGGGGGAGGGTCAGAGAGAGAGGGAGACACAGAATCGGAAACAGGCTCCAGGCTCTGAGCCATCAGCCCAGAGCCTGACGCGGGGCTCGAACTCACGGACCGCGAGATCGTGACCTGGCTGAAGTCGGACGCTTAACCGACTGCGCCACCCAGGCGCCCCAAGCAGTAATCTATTTTCAACACAGAACTGAAGTTGTTTAGTTAAAGAATTGAACTGTTTAAAGAATGGATGAAAGTAAGAGACATCTTATATTATTGCAAATTTAAGAAATTCTTAAGCATGAACATATCATATCTGTCAAAGGAAGGCACTGATTTAATTATATATGTGGATAGAGTCGGCAGAATTTGATATTTAAAAAACTTCAAGGCTGAAAGATAAAGAAGTGTTGTCGGCTTTGTCCCCAGGACACCAGAATGTCGGGACTCTAGCACCAATGCAGAGTTTACAGGGAGCCCTTTATATGAGCTCAACAAGCTGCAGGAAATAGGAACTTCCAGGAGGGGATAACTCAAGCCGAACAGAGATGGAATCTACCTGCTGGCACATGGGCTTGACAAAGACATGGGAGTGATAAGTGGACAGAACATGAGGGCCTTTACCTCTTCTCTTATGAGGGTGAGCACAGCTGTCTTATCGGATTCGCTGAGGCAGATGCCATCCAAGGGGCTCTCCCCTCCACAGGCCACAGACACGGGGGCCTTCTCCACAGATGACTCCAACAGTCCCTGAGGGGGGGAAGAAGTTACATTTAATATGTTCAGGCTTCAGCTTCTTAACCCCAAATAGCGTCCTTCAATAGCATCCTCATTACTACATTGATTACAATCTTTAAAAACACGTTTGAAGAAAAAAAAAAAAAAAAAAA